ATTGTACATTTTTTTTCATTTACAGTCAATCCAATATGAATGCTCTAGGAATATTTGCTTCCATTATTCTATAGGTAGTATAAGCTACTTCCTCCTCTTCTTTTTCACTACTTTCCTCCTTCAGTATATGGAAGGTACTATGGCTATGAGGCTGTTTTTTATTGTGGTTTTGGGATTCCGCTTTCTTGGGTTTGTTTCGACACTCTTCGAATGTGCAAAGTCAATCTGCAAAAGTGACATCTTTCATGTTTAAATCTGCAAACCATTAGGGTGTGTTTGCCTCCACAAAGATAACACTCTGCTAGCTGTTTCCCAGGCTGCCTTGCAATTCTGTACATAGTACCATGTGTTTCCTGCATGCTATTTCCATCTCCCCCAGCTCTTGTAGCTTGGGCTTGTAAATCCTGTACATTTTTATTTGCAGTCTCCATAGACTGGGCCAATTTCAGAGCTGTTTCAAATGCTAACTAGGGTTCAGACTGCAATCTCCTTTGCATTTCATCATTAATGCTGCAAATTAATTTGTCTCTTGCCATTTGTGTCAGAGTCGCACCATAATTACAACCTTGAGTGCTTCCTTGGTTCTGCCACAAATTCTCCTACTGCCTCCCTGGATTTCCTCCACCGATATTTAAACTAAAATTGTTCTACTAAATCGCCGGAGGTTGGGCTGAAGCAGATTTACGAGCTCATCAAAAGTTTTAGCTCCAGGCTTTTCAGGGGCTAACAGATTTCTCATTAAACTGTAAGTCTTGGCCCCTACACTGTCAGATATAATAGCTCTCGTCTTACCTGTAATATCATTAGCAGTGAAAAAACAAAATAATATGTTGCAGTTTTCGTCCAAGTTTGGTGTTGCGAATTAAATGGTGAAATAGAGAAAACAGCCACAACTTTTGGGACTGTGTTTGTAAGGGCGTAGGCCTTCCTTGCAGATAACTTCCCAGGCCTACTTCTTTCCCTTTTTTTGCTCTTGTGTGGTTGATTCCACTTCGTTGCCCTATGCTGTAGCGTAAAGCAGCAGTACTCCGTCTTGGAGCACGAACAGTCTTTTTATTCAGGCAACATGCATGTATCTTGGCAATAGTTCCACCCTTTCACAGTTCCAACAACGCACAACACAGCCCTGAAACAGCCCCATATTTCCTTGTCTAAATATCTGCCTCCTCCCCCTAGTGGCTGGTTTAATAGACACATTGAAACATCCAGCCTGTTAGTTCTATCCTGGCTTTGGATCAATTGCCACCCGTCCTCCACTCCACTGCTCTCATCCCTGTCTTGCTCTCCTTTGGCCTGGACAGCCCTAAGCACCCAGCACCCTGCTGTGAGCAGCCTGGCAAGATGGACGCAGCTCCTACGTGTCCCAGAGACTGGCCAGAGCAACCCGTGGAGAGCAACCCAGCTGAGCAATTCCAGGCCCAGGGAGCATAGCCAAGGGCCAGCAAACACTAAGTGGGATGGGGGCCCGTCGTCTTCTCTCCTGCCCCATGGGCACGCTTGCCTTCCGCAGAAACAGGGTCAGGTTTTAGGCCAGTAGAATGGGAGAGTTGGGGGCAGCCAACTCCAAGGGTGCACTTGGAGAGATCTCTGTGCAAAGGCTTCCCCATGAAAACAGCAGAGAGAGAGCAAGAGAGGTTTGGGGAGGTGGGCTGGTCAAACCTGAGTTGGCTTGGGGAGTGCACCATGTCTCACTAAATATCTCTCTCTCTCACTCACACACACACACACACACACTGTCTTCACTATATCCCCCCACATACACACTCACGCTGTCTTCACTACATCCCCCCCCAACACGCTGTCTTCATTACACCCCCCCCACTGTCTTCACTACATCACACACACACAGTCCTCACTACATTTCTCTCTCTCTCTCTCTCTCTCTCTCTCACACACACACACACACACACACACACAGTCTTCACTACATCTCACACGCTCACACACACACACACACACACACACACTGTCTTCATTACATCTCTCTCTCTCTCTCACACACACACACACACACACTGTCTTTACTGTAATAAATCATTGCCAGAATTTCTTGTCAAGCAAGTGACTGGTTCGGGCAGCTGACTTTGGGACCCTGATCCTTTGTATAGCCATGGCAGTCAGAACAGCTGTGAATAGGTTAATGCAAAGCCCTGTCCCAACTCCCCCCTGCATTGCATGGGGCGTTTGGGTGAGAAACGGCTCTGTCCAGCCCTGACTCGTTAAGGGTTGTCTGTCGCCAATATTGACCCAGCTCTGGATCTGTTGCTCAGCCACGGTCTCAGAGGCTCTTGCAAGGTATTTGCTCAGCTGGAGCTAGGCAGAGCAATTGCAAACCCAGATGGATCAAACCCCATGTGAGTATGTGTATGTGTGTATGTGTTTGTTCTTTCTCTCCATTAACACCTGCAGTGGGTTTAGAAGCACAGGGTCCCAGTGAGCCAAAGGCCACGGCCTAGAAGAGACCCAAAGGTGCTAACCCAACCCTCATGCCCCTGCACAAGGACTTGTAGAAAAGCTCAGGGGCCCCAACCTGCTATCAGCCCAGCGGCAGCCCATTATGGGGCCTGGCCCCCTCACTCTGGGGTGAGTGAGCAGGAGAGCAGGCCCAGAGGGCAAAGGAAGAGACTTTCCCTCAAAGCGTCAGTTGGACCGGGACCATTCTGCTCGGACTCAGCCCTGACGAGCCCTGGGGCGAATGGGATCTGCTCATCCCATCCCCACCCTGCCAAGCCCTTTGGTGCCAGCAGGGCCCACAGGCCGTAACCCTGCAGGACAGGGCTATTGGGCCAGTAGGAGCCAGCACTGAAAAGTGCCCCATTGGTTCTTGACGGCCCTTTGGCTCACAGGGTGTCATGTGACTTGACTAGAGGCCCCGGTGCCCTGAGGAGAGGGCTAGAGGGTGTGGGAGAGTTAGAATCATAGAATATTAGTGTTGGAAGAGACCTCAGGAGGTCATCTAGTCCAATCCCCTGCTCAAAGCAGGACCAACCCCAACTAAATCATCCCAGCCAGGGCTTTGTCAAGCTGGGCCTTAAAAACCTCTAAGGATGGAGATTCTACCACCTCCCTAGGTAACCCACAGCAAGGGGGGACGGTGAATGTGAGGGGTGCACTGTGTGTAGGGGCACACAGTGTGGGGGAAGAGGGTGGGTGTAGGGCACACAGAGTGGAGGGAAGGAGTCTGTGTGGGGTGCACAGTGGGGAGGAGGAGTGGGATGGAGCGGGGCTCTGTGTGGGGTGCACAGTGTGTGGGGGAGGGGTGGGTGGGAAGCGTGGGGGTGGGGTGGAATGTGTGGGGGAAGGTCCCTGTGGTTTGCAGGGCAATGATTCTTTCAGGGACACATGGGGTATGTCCACACTGCAGCAGGGGGAGCCTCCCGGCCTGGGCAGACAGACTCTTGCTGGCTGGGCCTGAGCCAGTGCACCAAAAATAGCCATGTGGCTCTGGTGCAGACCTGGGCTAGCTATCTGAGCTCAGACCCAGGGCACAGGGTGGGCTTCAGAGCCCAAGCAGCCGCCTGAGCCACAAAATCCAAGCTGCTATTTTTAGCTGCTAGCTTGAGCCGAGCTAGCACAAGCCTCTGTAACTGGGCTCACTCCCCCTGCAGTGTAGACATGGCCACGGTGCCCTGTGCCTGCCTCCCTTCCTGGATTCCCCTCTGGCTGAAGCGTGTGAAGCTGGGAGCAGGCCTGGCTCTAGCAGCTGTCCCTGCATTCTCACGAATGCCCTTCCTTTTCCCACCACTGTCTGCCCTGTGAGTGGGTGCACCTGCGGGTGATGAGGTCCCACCCTGGGGAGACAGTGGCCCCCTTTGCCCCACCCCCCACTGGAGGAGGCTTATTTATTAAGCCTTCCAGCTGAGGCTGGTGTCACTAAGGGTATGTCTATGCTGCAATTAGACCTGCGCGGCTGGTGCGTGCCAGCTGACTCGGGCTGGGGGCTGTTTCATTGCAGTGTAGCCATTTGGGCTCAGGCTGCAGCCCGGGTTCTGGGACCCTCCCACCTCACAGGGTCCCGGCAGCCCATGAGCCTGAGTCAGCTGGTATGGGCCAGCCCCGGGTGTCTAGTTGCAGTGTAGACATGTCCCAGAATCCCCAAGTTGGGGGGGGGGCATTCTGTACACAGGGGCTGCCAGCTCGCTGTGGGTGCAAACTGATTCCAGGACTGCTGCAGTTCCAAGCTTTCAGCTGCTCTGAATCAGCATGTAGATACAGTTCAGCACAAACGAATAACAGCAGCAAGCCGCTCTCCAGAAGCAGCTCCCTGCCTAGGGCATTGCTACAGCAAACGCCTCTCCTAGCCCCACGCTGGGGTCACAGCTGGGTCACTGGGGGTGTCTGACACTTCACAGCCATGACACTCAGGGAAGGGCAGATTTCATAATGATGCTTGTCCTGCCAAGAGACCTCAGCCAGCCGACCATCTTCCTGCAGCACCTGCCGGTCCCAGCAACTGCCATTTGAGTGATAGCTCAGAGTAGAGCCTGACACAGCCTGAAGCCAGAGCCCTCTTATTATCCAAGACACAGGGTCTGATAGGACAGGGAGGAGGAGAGGGGCTGGTACACCCCCGCCATCCTGGGAAGGAAAGGGCCAAGGGAACATACAGCCAAGGAGAGTGGGTAGAGGGGACACTCGGCACAATCCCCTCTTCCTTTATTACTGGTGAGTAGACAGGATCAAATCTCCTCCCCTAGCCATGGTAGAGATGGTCTCTGTCTTCTTCTGGGCCACTGACAGCTTCAGCATACAGTGCCGCTATCTGCACAGGGCCTTCCTCTTCCAGAGCAGCGTCTGGGGGGTGGTAGATGTGGTCTCGGTCTTCCTCCGGCACCGCTGCAGACTTGGCACCCAGCGGGGCTGGCGGGTCTCCAGCACTCCTAGGAGCTGCAAATGGAGGAGGCAGAGAGAGCGTTAGCTTTCTGGGCATGCTGAGGATGCCAGCGGGAGAAAGAGTGTCATCCCTCAGCTTGCTTACCTCTTCCGCCTTGTGCGTCACTAGACAACAGCCTCATTCCGGGATCAATATCCGCTGTTTGTTCTTCATCCTCGGGTGGCTCAATAGCTCTTATGCCCAGAATACTGGAAAAAAGAAATATTAATAATAATAGTTAGCTCTTATATAGCCCTTTCCAGCTGTGCTTTACAAAGGAGGTCAGCCTCATTGTACAGCTGGGGAAACTGAGGCACTGAGAAGGGAAGTGACTTGCCCAAGGTCACCCGATGGGTCAGTGGCAGAGCTCACAATAGAAGCCAAGTCTCCTGACTCTGAGAGTTTTGTAACCCTCCCCCCTTCCCCTCCCCAGTTTCTGCCAGGAAATCCCAAACCACATACATGGAGTAATTAGCCTCATTAGCATTTCAAACATCTTCTTGCAGGAACATTTCACCAAAGATCCCCTTAGAAGAGGCCTGGTTCCTTCCCAAGACCTCTACACACATGACCAGAACAGTGCTGCCCCGTTAGGAACATGTCCCATCTCCTACCGGCCATGTGACATTCCCTCACTCTGTGACTGGACAGGAGTAAAGCTGGGTGCATTATTCATTGTGAACAATATTAGATGCACCAGAATTCACTCTGTTTTGTTTGCATAGTCACAGATTGTAGCACTAATAATTATTTGGCCTAATATGCTATTTGCTGTATCGCTTGGTTGGTAATTTTCGTGCAATTCATTCAATGCTATATTTTTATTCGCAATATGTGATTGGATACCTAAGTCACATGGCATTGTTCCTGCTCCTTGACTGGCTACCGAAACCTATTAAACAGGAGAATAAAGAGTAGCCAATAAGGAGTGTTAGGCCAAATAACTGTTAGTGCTATGACTGGTGAGTATTTCAGGATTCAAAAACATTTCCATGGAAACCCAGTGGTCATCTGAATTCTTGCAACTAAAGAACAAATAAACATGAATAATGTTTGTGAGTAGCAGAGACTTGGGATTTGGATTCATAAATTCATGAACTAGGATTTTCATGACTCAACCAGCTTAATTATAAACAGGGGAGAATTCAAAAGGCAAAATGATGACCAGAGGATTAATTCTGGGCCAGTACCAGATACACCAGCATGTTCATTCAAGCTGATTGTTCCTGTGATGCTTGTGAAGAACAAAAATGCCACAGAGAAAAATAAACAAACTCTTTTTTCCACATAATAAAATTACAAGTGTTAGCCACCTGTGAGGATGCAAACATCGTGACTGTTTGATCTGGAAGCAAATAATGAGATGAAATTCACTAGACAGTCATAAATCTTAACAATGACTGATATGGAGCCAATGGCTCAGTGGACAAGGGGACTGTGTCTGTTTAGGCCTTTGGTGAATTTGTCCCAGTAGCTCTGTTGTTACATACATTCTGATTTCTGAAGGACACCCCTTTAAAGAGGCCTCTACTCCACCTCTAATTTTGTGCTTGCATCAGATGGCACGTGCAAGTAACAGGATTTAGACCTTTTCCTACCTGCTTGGCAAATACAGAGAGGGAGTGAAACCTACAGATATATCAAGTATCAGAGGGGTAGCCGTGTTAGTCTGAATCTGTAAAAAGCAACAGAGGGTCCT